GGGCGCTCCGGCCCCGACCGCCCCTGCTCTGCTCCCTGCAGAGTTCGTGTTCCTGCTGTCCGAGAAGTGGCACCTGGACCAGGCGGCAAGGTACCAAGCGGTGGAAATACTCGAAAGGTAACGCGCAGCCCGAGCAGGCGGCGCGGCCGTCGCCTCCCGGGATATACCCCGCACCCGCATCCGGAGCGCGCGTGGAGCTGGCGCTTCCCAGAACAGGACCGTGTGTTTTGCAGGTTTATGATTAAACAGGTAGAACAAACGTTTAAATCCTCCGGGGAGGCCAGGAAGAGCAGCGACCAAGGACAAGGGACGGGCTGGAGCTCTCGCAGGGACGCGATCTGCGACACGTTCGTCCTGCGGCTCGTGTCGTGCGTCCAGCTTGCCAGCAAGCTCTCCTTGCACTATAAGGTAAAACATCCCCACTCCAAACTCTAGGAACTGTTTTAGCAGTGCGCTGCCATTTGTGTGTTTCATGTATTAATGTATAGTTTTTGTGATCTCTCTCTAGGTTTCCTCTCTGAAAGTCAGTAGTATATTGAAATCCAAAGAATATTGGAATGGGAACATAAGGCTCTTCCATTTAGGGCAGATTCATTGTCACTCATTGAGTAACTATTTGGCAGTAGCTATTCCCAGTCACTGGGCAGGGGGAAGGAGGGGCAGCTAAAACCTCTTGGTGGGTTTGGAGAGCAGTTTTAGGCTTAGACCTGTTCGGGGGGCAGTTTTTGGAATAAAGGACTGAACTTCTCATGGCAGCTTAACAGACAAGTTACTCGGTCGAGTTGTCTGCAGGTAAAACGGGAAGCTTTGCTATTGCAATTGTCCATGCTTTAACTTAAAGCAAAGAAGGTAAGAAAGTATTTTATTCTTAACAACTGACTTACTGTACATACCAATATAGAAAATAACTTGGCTTTTTTCCTTCCCAGATAGTTAACAGTGACACAGCTTTAAAGTTTCTGCAGTCCTTAAAATACTCATACACTAAGCAGGAATTACTTGAGTCAGAACTTGCCATTTTAAAAGCTCTGCACTTCCAGATCAATGTGTCAACTCCTTTGACTTACGTTGAGTTGCTTCTAGAGGTCTTAGGTAAGAGCAGTAATAGAGAATAGTAGAATAAGTTTTAAAAAGAGCAAGATAGAGCTAGAACTACCCTGAAACAGATACCTTAATAACTGTGCACACTGTAAAGACACAGTAAAACAATGGAGTGAAACTAAACTGAGGTTGAGAGGGCCCGTGACATTCAGAAACAAAGCACAGTTGTCACCTTTCTTACAGTAACTAACTCTTTTCTCTAGTTTTATGAATCCAGATATCTGGTGACTATGTATGATCTTTGCACCAGGACATAACGGCTGCCTGCTTCCTGCAAAGCCGCTGCACGAGATGTGCATGCACGTGCTGGACTTCTCCTATCTTACGAGAGACGCCATCTACGATACCCTGCTGAAGACTGCGATTGAAAATTCAACACCAAGCCAGCTGCAGGTGTAAGTAGCTTACCTGACTACTGAGTAAAGTAAGTATGAACGAAACACATAAAAAAAGTTAAGAAATAGCCTAATTCTTATACCTTTTTTGGCTTTTTTTTTTTTCCCTTTTAAAAACTTTTGTGGGGTTTGGGATTTTTTTGTTTTGCCAGTTCGAAGAAACCACTTCATTTGCTTTAAAGCAAGCTAGGGAAGTTTTCTAACTGAATCTCTATACAGCCTGTACTTTTAAAACTACACAAGTAGCACTTTTTGAATTAGAGCAGCATTTTATTCCAGAAAACACTTTTCCATGTGCAGAGCAAAGTTCCTGACAGTCAAGGAAGATTTCATGCTTTTGGCTGTTGGAATCATCAGCACAAGTGCTTTCATATTAAACCCCAAGCACTGGAATCAGGTACAGTCACTTCTAAACAAATTAGCTCTGAGTGGAAAAAAATATGAAGCTTGTTTTATTATATTATTGTTTAAGCCCAGCAAGGAGCCAGACTGTACTGGGAGTGACATGAAAGAGGTGACATCTTTCAGTTTATTGGTGAGAAGTGCGTGTGCTTTTGGGAGCAGGTTATTAGGACGTGCAGGGAGCTCAGCGGGACGGCACGCGCTGGCTCCACAGTGTCAGATGATCCTCCCAGTTCAGCCCCTTCCCACTAGAACAAACTTTGAGAGAGGGTTTCACTGACAGTGGGGGAGCAGACACAGCCCCCTGCCCAAACTGGTGCTAAATACTGTGATAAGCAGCTATTGTACCCAGGAGCTCTTTACTTCTTTGGTGAAAGTAATTAATGTTAAACAGAGGGGGAAACTGTTACTACTCTTCCCCCAACATACAGAAAGGTTTTAACTTTTAGCAAAGATCCTCTAGTATGTGTCCATGCAGCACTATTATTTTAGTTAGATTTGGGGGGATTTAAGTAATTAGGTAAATTTATGTCACTTAGGCACTGCAAATAAGTGTTTTTTTTTTTTTTTTTTAAGGTTGTGGAGCATTTAAACTGTATCACTGGTATTACTTCACAAAGTATCTTGGAATTTTCCTACGCAGTGTTGACACACATCATTGGCAGCACCACTCCAAAGCAGCACTGCAGGAGCAGTGGAGCAGGAGCCCAGAGAACAGAACTGTACCGCTAATGTCGATTTATCTTCTGTAGCCATTCCCTAGCGTATCAGTAACGGGCTTCTGTATCACTGCTAACACTCCATCTTCCATGATACTGCACAGGAAATCCAAAGAAAGTTGTTTTTACTTTTGTTTTTGGAAACAAAGTGTTTTGAAATGTTGCAAATCCTTTATTTTAATTGGACAAGTGTATCCATGCAGACTGCGCGCTAATGCTTTGGAGGGACACGGGAACAAAGTAGAACTTAAAAATACCTCTTTTGGCACCCAAAGCCTATTGTAAGGCTCTATCTTCTAGGTTAGGAATATGTTTCCTTTGAAGAAACAGAAAACTGTAAGAGGAGCCTTGTTTTGCGAAGGGGCAGATGCGAAAGTAACGTGCTTGGTAATTAATCCCCATCCAGGATGTTTATGTTGCGGCTCGCGTGCCCTTGGTGAGGAACAGGGGTTTATGAGGAGGTTCCTCTGCACCTCCTGGCAAGAGCAGGCTGCACAAAGCAGTGCACATGGTTAACACACCACAGCTAGAGGCGTCGAACCTTGGCGAAGTTCAGGGGCACAATGTTAAGTACTCAGATAAGATTTCAGAAAATAGTTTATTTTGAATTGTAGTTAACTCTTAGAGACCAAGCAGAGCTTCCATGATATTTTTCCACATTTCCCTGTAGTGGTAGCATTTCATTTCTCTAGCTTACATGTTCTTTTAAGTCTATATGTTCAGTAATAGCAAATGCAGTGGTGTTTAAGAATATGACAGTAATCTATATACAAATACTATATACATATATTCCCCCAAATACCCATTTAATCTATCTAAAAGCTGAAAATTTTATTCTGTTCAGCTCAGTGATATAACTTTACATATTGCTTTTCCATATACTACTTGTAATAATGATATTTTAAATAAAGTGTCTTGTGGATTTTTGGTATTGTAAACATACTGTACTAGTTCATAGTAAGAGACAACTTGATTTGATTTTTTTCTCCGACAAAATGCAAGCACTCTACAGCCATCTGGACAAGTTCTTTACACAGTTACTTGTTATAGAATTGGGATGAGACCCAGGCAAGACCCCACTTCAGGTTAGTTAACATGAATTTTAGTGCTTTTGTCCATTGCTCCTCAGAGTTAAACTGTGTTTTAATAGAGTAAGAGCCACCACTGCCACCTGTATCTTCAATTTTTCCTTTCTCCACGTCCATCCTGTATCACACACAAAGTTTATTAGCACATTGCTATTCCAAGCAGTCATCTTAAAATGATAAGTACTACACTATTAAGTGACACTCTTACTAGCCTGGGTAAGAATACTTTGTAACAATAGAATTGTAAGACTAGCAAGATTCAGGCTTTCCGGTGAGGAACTAGCTTTAAATTGCAGTTGAATTCTGACCAAATGTAACTTCATCCTGCACCCCCTGACACCAGCACTGAAACAGTTGCAAGCAGGGCTGGAGCTCGGTCAGAGCCCAGCGAGCAGCGTTGCGGGAGGCACCGTTTGACATGTTTTATAGCAACACTCACCTGTAAGGCAAACAAAATCGAGTTTCACCTTTCTCTACTTCCTCTTTAAATTGCTGCACGCAGTCGAGGAAAGCCACCATGGCGTGATCAAATTTGTTGTCCCAGAAAAACCTTAAGCCTCCAGAACAGTACAAGGGGAGCTCCTAGAAGAAAAGATTAGTTTCAAATTACCCAAAACACTCCATTCTGGATATTATTGCTGTAGATTTTTAGTCTTTTTGTCTAAGCACTTGGCATAAGTTGCTTAGAAATGGCTTGGAGTAAGTGTAGTGTCTTCTGGGGTAAGAGCCACGGGTACTGGTGGTGATGCAAGATAAGAGCTGGGCTCCTAATCAGGAAAATCTTACGAAATCCCACTATATGCCACATTAAACCATGCCTTTTGCCAACCAATAGCATTAAGAAGGCCAAGACTCCTGCAACAGACATCAGAGGATAGAATGAGATGCAGCCAGCGTCAGAGAAGTCAAGGCAGGTAGTTCTTCTCTGCTGAAGATTCATAAAAATGTTCTCTCGGGAGCTGGTTTTCTGCCTCGTTTAGCAGGGACCTGGGGCATGACGGGGATCGGTGCAACGTGAGGTCGTTTCCTGGGGCTTTTGAACTGCAGGATTTCTTACCTTGGACTTGTCCGTGAGGGACTCTAAATACGAATGGTTACCGTAGGGCACGAGGCGGTATCTGCAAGGAGACATGGTTCAGAGAGACATGAGTCTGAACAGTTTTTAATGCGGTTCATAAGTGAAATGTGCATTTTACTGCGGGTACCTTTGAAACTTGAGGCCCATTTTGTTAGCAAGGGCATGTAGCAGCAGCACAGTCTGCCCCCAGGCTGCATTGATCTCATTCCATTCTACAGGAACACTGGGGAGCCGGCCAAGTCTGAAGTTATTTATTGTGCCAAACTGACCACTGTGCCTGTGATAAGAGGAATTATAAATAAGCTCATTGGAGCAGGAACAGCTTTTAGCATGCTAACCAAACAGGGGCCACCTACTAACAGCTATTAGTGTGCGTTTCATAATGAGACAAAATGAGGATTTAGGGCCCCTAGTTAAAAAGTGTATAAAACTATAAGACAATCGTTCTGTTTTTATCAAGCAGGAGTTCGTAAAACAATAACTGGGCTGTCACAGTCCATAGAGCCTTCGTGGGGAGATCTGCTGCTCTGCATGTGCAACGCAGAGCATGGCGTGGAAAACGTCTCCCCTGGAACCCCCAGGAGACGTGGCCAGTCTTTGCTGGGGGTTAACGAAGATGCAATTAGCACCTTTCCTGTGCTATTTATCTGCACACTGTTTTTAAAAAAGTCCCATATTGCGGATTCCTAGCAAGGCAAAGAGCGTCTGCGTTACCAGATGTGGAAGGTTGCGTTGAACACGTTGGTTTTCTTCAGCTTGTCCAGCTGCATCTGGGCATAGCGCATTTGGTTGTCCACGCTTTTCAGTTCGTCATCTAGCTCCAGCTGTTGCCGCTTGAATTCACAGTATTCCTTCTGATACCTGCAAATAAAAACAAGACCAGAGTGCTTTATGAAGGCTCTTTTCTTAGGAAGAAGAGTTGTTGCTCATATAGAATGTAAGGTTTTTAAGGTTTTCTGGCCAGGTCCACTTCAAATGTGCAAAGAAAAAGACACTTCATAGGTTTCTCCTCATTACAATCACTGCCATGAACCACACTGGTAATTCAGACTCACTGAGCTTCCTCCTGCTCCAGTCTCTGTGCCTCTGCCCTGACTCTCTCGAAGTCTTCGGCCACCAACTTGCGGTTCTTCTCAACGTCCTCCAGCTCCTGAATCAGTTGTTCTTCCTCCAGTGCAAGTTCTTTCAGTTCTGTTTGCAGTTTCTCCTTATCGTCCTCATTCATTTGTTCCAGTATCTCCAGACATCTCCTAAATGACACACGATTACCAGGAGCCCTGGAAACCTCCCCCTGCCAGCAGTCCCAGCGTGTGACAGGCGCACACGCAAGCCGCAGCACAAACAAGAAACCTGAGTTCATGCAGCTCATTTAATCTTGCATCCTAAGACAGGAATGCAGGTGGACAAGGGAGCAAGAGGGTGACTCAGGATCCATTACTGCCTGTCATTGTAATGGTGAAGCCTTTAAATCACACTAAAATTGCTGCCACACAGGCACCTTGGGCAGGTGGCATCGGCCACTCTTGAGGGCTCACAGGCTTCAGCATGAGATGCTGTTTATCACAGGATTCCAAAAGTAAGATCTCCATCTCATTTAGACACAAGTGCTGAGGTTATTAATGCTAAAATCCATCCTCAGATCGCTGCTCCCTCCCTACCTTTCAAATGAATCAACTCACATCACTCCAGGTCACTCACTTGTAGTTCTGGCACTCGTTCTCCGTGATGTTTAGCTGAGTGTCCAGCTGGTCCAGCAGTGTGTCCGTGCATTCCTCACACAGCGGGTGATCCACGTCCGTCTGCCCAGACATGATGTCAAAGAGGTCCCCGGTCACCTGGAGACAGAGTCCCCTGTTAGCCCCGGGGCAGCTGGAGGAGCTGCGGGTTGTTCCTTGGCCAGGGGAGCCTTCTTGGCCGAGGGAACCTTCTTGCTGACAGCGCTGCAGGCCACAGTGCCAGGAGAACAAGGAGCCTGCGCTCGCTCAGCTGCTCACAGGCACCCGAGTCTGAACCGAACACAAATACTTTAAGGCTAAAGCCTTAAGAAGCTTCTTCCAGTTGCATCTTGCAGAAAACACAGAAAAGCTGACGCTATGGCAGGACATATCTTTATTCCCCGGCTCACAGGAAACTTGCCTTCAGTCTCCTGCTGAGGTTTTCCATGGTGCCTCCGTCGGACGCCTCTCCGATCAGGGTGAAGCTGTTGGCGCTTTCCGTTGACATCATCCTGCAAAAGGACGTGGAGCCGCAGTGAGCGCCGTGGGGGATCCAGGTGCCGCCAGGAGCGGGGAGGGGACACGGGAAGGGGAGGTGACGTTTCCCAAAGGGAACATGACGGCTAATTAACCCCTACTGAGCACCCTGGGTGTGAGCGCGCCGGGTGCTTCCTTGCTCTGCCGGGTGCTCAGGAGTCGGATCAGAGCGGGACGGGGAAGGGAGCGGGATGGGGAAGGGGACAGCAGCGCCTCAACAGAGCCTCCATTCG